GGCAGCAGAAAATCAGTAGGGTCTTGTTATTTTCCATTGTATAATCAATGAATATACATGTTATATTTAGGAAGTATGCAAGAAAGTTAGGCTAAACAGGTTATCACACTGAAGAAGAATGAATGGAAAGCTTACCCTTGTCCTGGGCTCACTGAGAAGACTCCAAGAGGAACCATCTCCAGTAGCAGTCAGCTCTTAAATGGTGTCTAGGAGAGGTGGAGCCAAGCTCCACCCCTTCCAGTAGCACAAGAGAATTGCCTTCAGCTGTGCTCCTAGAACTGACTCATTGCTCACCACAGGTGGTCAATCAGAGGTTCAGGCTGTGATTCAGCAGTTCCCATACATCCATATACACACCCCAGAGGAACACTTCATCTACTGAATTCAGGAAGACTTAACTAAGCTTATTAGAAATATTTTTTCTTTGATAAGCCGAAAGTGATAAAAGATCAGCTACTTACATCACAATCCCAGTTAAAATATTTCCTTCTATGTACCTAACACTATTTACTCACTGATGTTGTGTGTTAAGAGGCATCTAGAGATACAGCAAGAGCATCTGATTATTCAGCACCAGCTGAAGTGGTAAAATCACACTGACTAATGGTATTTAGCTGATGAGAGTCACAAAATTAGTAATAACTTCATATCAGACTTTTACAAAGAGGTAGCATTCAAAAGAATGATGTTATATTTCAGATTAACAGCTACATGGCTGATGATAATTCCTTGTATGCAAAGTGTATACGTTTAAGTTTTTCTGATTTTGTATCTGACTGCAAAAGCTAGAGTTACTGATGCATGGTACAGATATGGAAAGTTTTGTTCTAAGATGATTGGTTTAAGTAAAACACCAGGTGAAAAAGACAGACTGTCTTAATTTACCACCTGAAAGCCCAGCATCAGTTATCAACTAATGGTCTCTTCAGATGTGTGTGAGTGATCCACATACTCTCAAATGTTACAATGCGTAGACCCATGGTTAATAAAAAACACACAGCCTGTAACTCAACAGTGGCAAAAAAACTGCAAGTACAAATTTAGGACAGGATCATTTAGGCTCTTAGAGGCAGATCTTATTCCACTGAAGTAAAAAAAAAAAAAAACACACACAAAAAACCACACTTCCGCTCACATCTATGGCAGAGATTAGACACTTTCACTAAATAGTTTCCCTCTTGCTTCATAGGTTTTTTTTTTTTTTTAAATAAAACATGTCAAGCTGCACTGCATCAGAGAAGTGTATATAACCAACATTCAACAAAAATTTTGCTCAGTCTTAATTACTACCGAATCCACACCATGTAGACAAAATTATGACATAAAACCTCCACATGCATGCAGTACAATATGCAGTTCAGCTGCTCACATACCTAAATATTTGTGGGCACAAAATCTGAATCATTACAAAAGCTATTTAAATTGAGACACTTTATCACACCATTGCCTTCCACATGTGGCATTTTTTTATTCCAAAGCACCTTATTGTTGAAACACATTCCATGTTTGTTTCAAGATCCCAACACTGAGAGGTAGGGTTTTTATCTGAAAAATCAGCAAAGACCTTCAGATATGACTAATTCAGTGGAAGGTTCTTCAGACACAAAGAAGAGTGACAGCTCACTCCCCTTGACAGCAGTATGAATTACATTTCATTCCTTCACAAATTTCACTCCTCCCTCATTCAAATGGAAACTGATCAGTTTCTAATGGAGTGAGGAAAATAAAGATACATTTAAAAAGGCAAGGAAGTGTTAGCGATAGCCTTTTTGCTTTTCTAGTGAATACCGTCCCAGAAAAGTTCTACTCAAGTCAGATGAAACTTAAATTCTAATATCACTGCAAGCTAAGTTTGACCTTTAAATATTAATACTAATACTATTTCATACTAATGAAATAGCAGTAGAAACAGACTGACAGGTGTAATACAAGTCAGACTAAATAGCACAGTAAAATTATATGCTACTTGGAAATTCTCATTAGCAATAATGAGATATGCACATATAATCCATGATCTGAAAATGTACTCCTGAAAATCCAGGTAGAATAAGTGATCAGAAAATTTCTCTAATAGTAATTACTCTTACTTGATAACTTCAGGGGAAAATCTTTGAGAGGAAAAGCCAGATATCTGCACTTATGCATGTAATTGGACTTTTTTTCCCCCTCCCCAATTGGCCTCCTACTGGATTTGTTTCCTGAAATATTTCATCCAAAAGTCTATTTCCATTCTACCAGTGTAGGAAAACCTTAATCTTCACACAGTTCTTCATTGCACTTCAGCAGCCTGTTTCTTATTAGAACCCTAGAACCATTAATCAGTGTCTCTCTCAAATGTACCCTGAATACTGCTTATACCACTAAAGCTGTCAGAGAATAGTAAAAAATTACATGCTGAAATAGTAAACATTTCTCCCCTTAAATGCAATATAACAAGGTAGAGATACATTTTAGAAGTAGGATCAGTTGTTCCTTCAGTACCTTCACTGCAATATAAAAAGGCAAAAATCACAGAAGTCAGGTAGGGATCCTGGGAGCTTTCAAATCACCTGCACTTAAAATCATGTGTACAAATGGTTTTGAAAATGCAATGAGAATAAAAGTATCCATCTTAAAGCCAAAAACTTTAAACTTAAAACTGCACTGTTTAATGGAAAGATAAAACATTAGAAATTGTGTAATGAAAAATCATTTACAATTCATTTGCTTATCATTTTTTTTCAAGGTTTAACTTTCCTGGAAGTAGTAAATATTCAACATTACTAACAGGCTGGCAAATTCAATTTATCGTAGCTCCCAGTGTCTCTCAGCATCACCTACAGGGCCAGACTTATTCAGTGTTTTTCTTCTGTCAGGAAAAAAGTGACTAATTCTATGGCACAGCTAAAATGCCTTCATTTTTGCAGCTAAATGTTTAGATCAATCAGACACTAGTATAAGTCTGACTGTGACTGACGTATAGCTCTACAACATCAGACAACATGAGAGAATGGCTAGATCATCAATGCAGAAAACAACTAAATGTTACATCCACTGTGGAGGACAGAATCTCTGCATGTCCTAAATCTGAGCTGCCAGCAAAACAAGTTTCATTTTAAATAAATGGAGAATAGAAAGACACTTGTTTGTGATGCATCAAGCTCTCCTTAAAGAGGAACAGAATTATGATTGAGTCTCTCTTAGGAAACTAATAACATAATTAAAATTATGAAAACTTAATGTTGTTTCTTTATGCCTGCCTACTTCAGAATGTAGTAAGATGTCAGAGTGTGGAGAAGGGTCAAAACTTCATTGTTTGCAATGGCTGAATACTGTTTTACTCCCTGAACACTGTTTTTCCTTCCTTTTCTGAGACACATCGTATGAAGCTCTGATAATTCCCCTCAGCAGAATTCCAGTTATCCAATATGCTAGTGGATGCTTGGCAAATTACCTGTGTTTTACAGTCATTAATTAAAGATGGAAACACCTCTCTTTGCACAACTCAATGATTTAATAATTATTAGTGAGACGTTATGCCTTTAAACATTTCTGGCAGATGATGAAGCGCACTCTCAATGTTTAACAAAGCTTTTAGAGGCTTGTACTACACTGCTGCATAGCAACTGAAACTTCTTATATGCAGGTGAGGTAAATCCCATTGTAGTTATCTGGGAATTGTTGCTGAGGCTTTGTGAAGCAAACATAATAACAAGCTTCAGTTAATTTATTCAGTGTCAGCATATCAAGTTTTGCCACACAAAGGAGTTTCTGTGAATTTTCTGTGAATCCATATTCCAAGCCTACACCCAAACACTCATTACCTAATAAGCGATTCTCTCTGGCAAAATCCTGGCACACAAATCCAAAATGTTTGTCTTTACATGAACACCTACCCTACATGCATACCAGGGAAAGATGAGTGCTCCACTGTAAGAATCAGTTCTCTCCAGTACATCACAGGCATGAAAGCCCAAGAAAGCAATGGCAAGACACTGAGTAACATGCATCAATCAGAGCTGCAGAAAACAGTTTGAGTACCTCTAACACAAAGATGACAATGAGATCCGCTACAACAGTGTCCAGGAGAATAAATATAGAGATCAATAACACATGAATTATGGTGGGGTTTTTTTCCCCCTAAGACAATTAACTCTGAAATAACAGAGTTTTACCAAGAGAACTGACTTGACCTAACAGTGTTAGGAGAGAAGAAATAACTGCAGTTCAAGTACGCTCAAACAGGAAGGTAACACCTTCAGGCTGCACAGAAGTTAGTCTGCAGACTGGAAAAATCATAAACACACCAGGATTTATTTGACTATCAAGATCTGATGCCCAAAAGAACAGGCACTGGAAGACACCGTAGGAATCGTGTGCACAATGACTTATACTGGCAAAACAAGAGATGAGACTCTTCATTTCTTCTCACATTTTTGCCTGTTTTGAGGTACAAGAACAGAAACTGTAATTGCTAGTAGAATTTAGCTCCAGTGTATTAAGAAAGACTGCCATCTTCTGGTTTCTTCAATAACAGCATTCCATAGAAACAAATAACAAAATGGATTAACTTAAAGCGCAGAACTGATCATAAAGTCACACTTGCTCTGAACCTTTAAAGGAAAATGTCACTGATAATAAAAGACAGGCAAGGGAAAGTTAGAAAGGCTAATGTATTATAACTACATTGTATAGGTTAAATCAACGCATGCAATAATTATAACTATCACAGCTTGACACAGTTTATAAAGGTTTGGACCATAAAAACTCTTACCTTTAAAATACAAGCAATCTTTTGTGCAGTGCTGACTGTTCTAGCTCCTACAGAGCTTTAATCAAGAAGTACAGCATTATATAATAGGCCACAAACCAACTACTCTCAATATCAGAAACATAAAAACTCCTTTTAATTATATAGTCATAAGTCAATACAGTAGGAAAAGCATCACAACAAAGGTGTGATAATGGAAGGACTAGAATAATAGAATTGCACTACAAAGAAAGGGAAGAAGACTGCTCACCTATTCAGAAGATGCTAGGTTTGGATGAGAAAGATTCATCAAAGAAGGATCTTCAGAAAGAAATCCATCCCTGCTGGCAGTCATCCCTTAAATGAGGTCTAAGAGAGGTGCAGCCTCTCTTTCTGGTAGTACAGGTGAATTGCCTGCAGCTGTGCTCCCAGGGCTGACCCAGTCCTTTCCTCAGGTGCTCAATGTGTGGTTCAGGCCGTAACTCAACAGTTCCATACAAATGGAAATCTGAAATGATCTTAAAAGTAAAAGCTGCTTACACAGATTCTAAGGACACACCACCACCTCTTTCAGTAACCGCATAGAATACAAGGTACATGTATGAACATTAATCAGACTGAAGATAACTCAAAAATATTGTACTCTTTTCCATCATCTTTTTCACTAATAGGTACAATAAGCATAGGGTTACTGTTCAGTGAAGTGAAATTTTTATTTCAAACTTCAGGAACATACCCTAAAGTGAAAACTAAGCAAGGAACTCATAAACAGCATAATAGCATTCAATTAGAAACATTCAATGATTTGTGGTTTTTTGGTTGTTCTGAAATAGCGTTCTGTATTAGTTGAATGATTTTACTAATCTAGATTTCCTGTAAGTGAAGGAATGCGATGATCATCTTCTAAAAAATAACCTCAATCCTTCATTCCCTTTCCTCTTCAGCTAATGATATTTTTTTCTGTTGGAGAAATCTCACAGCTAGGGTGACATCTTGTGTTCTTTGCACTACAAAATGCCACGTCTCTGTCTCCATCCAGCTGCCAAGCATCCAGAATGTCCTGAGATCCATCTCACCAACTCAGATTTTATCTTCAAAAAATCTTGGCTGACCCTGTGTATATATGTGAAACATACAGTAACGTAAAAGGCACACCACCCCTTCTGAAAGTGAAATTTTTACTAAGACTCTTCACATTAACAAGGGCAGCGTAAAAGGAAAGTACTTTATACCTGAGGAAAGAATTGTTTTAAAGATATAAATCTGTCATGCTGTAAGCTATAAACCAGTGGCTACAACTGCATTTTGATAGGTGTGTTAATAAATCCTCTCATCCTGCTTGTAATCTTCACAGTATTTTGAAAAGAACCTTCAATGAGTTGGGTTTTTTTAAACAGAAAGTGCTAAAAAATAATAGATCTTCATACATGAAAAATAATATAATGAGCTTAAATGGTATGTTATTAAAAGTGGCTACCTACAAAAAATGAAAAGATGTTTTTGCACTGCCATGTGCAGAAGAGGCTACTTTTCAACATTTAATGTGCGTACAAATACTCAATGAGAAAAAGTAAAGATGATGAAGTCAGACTCTTTTCAGTGCTCCTCAATGACAGAACAGGAGGCAATGAACAGGTGAAAAGTAGCAAATTCCATATAAACACAGAAAAAAAGCTTTTTCACTGCAAGAGTGGTCAAGCATTGAAACACATTGTCCCAGTAGGTTGTACATCTCCATCCATAGAAATACTAGAAATGTGACAGGACAGAGAGCCAAGCAATCTGCTCTAGCTGATCCTACTTGAGCACGTGTATGGTAACTAACTGTTCAGTCACAGCCTGAACCACTGATTGAGCACCTGGGGAAAGGACCCCATCAGCCCTGGGAGCACAGGTGAAAGCAACTCATGAGCGTGATGGGAAGGGGTGCAGCCTGGCTCCACCTCTCTTACACCTCATTTAAGGGATGACTGCCACAGAGTAAGGCTCTTTTTCTGGGCATCCCTCTTTTGTGGAGTTTTCCCTGTAAGCCTAGATCTTCAGAAATTGGTGAGTAGTCCTTTTATTTCCCCTTCCCTTATAATGTTTTTCTTTTGAGCCAGTCTCTTCGTGAGTATACTTGTGTACTGCCATTCCATCACACTGGTCTTTGAGAATGTTATAGTAGGTGGCTTGGAAAAGGTAGTTTCTAGAGGTGCTTTCCACACTAGCTACTGTGAGATTTTTATGATTCCAACTGCTTTCTTCACTTTCTTCATTTCAGAGTTTTAAGTGATGTTTTAAAGAATTTGGGCTTTAATCATGGTGTATTTTAGAGAGGAGATCCAAAATACTGATATTAGCTTTAGATTCTGGGGGAAGCTAATGCATAAATCCTGTTTAGTGCAGGGAAGAACTTAACATCTTTTAATACCAGGTAATGTTTCCCAAGCACTGCAGGTGTTTTTTACCCAGAAACATCACATAGGCTAGCTTGCTTCTTTTTAATTAAGGTTGTATCACTCAATTAGCTACAGTGGTGTTGATGATGCACAGAGAATAACAAATACACATAGGTATTACTTGCAAATTGCTAATGTCTGAGTCTGGCTTTCTTTTCTGGAAGAGGAGACAAGAGGGAACTGATTCTGTGGATTTCTAAGTAGTTAAGGTTAAAATAGGTAGGCAAACAGCTGGTTGCTGTTATCAGTTGGGTACATCACTTCAGGAAGGGCCAGATCAGTGCAGTAACCTGGACTCCTGCCATCCAGATCATGTGAGACAGCAGGATTCCATGCACAGCTATGCTAAAATCTGCAAGATTAGACCTTGATCCTCTGTGTATGAAAAAAGATAATTCATTAGGAGAATTATTTCTGTTCCTCATCTTTGTGTGATCCATGTTACTCTGACTCCAAAATACTGTCTTCCTTTTAATCAACTAATAATACCAATCATTCTGGCCCAATGTTCTGAAATACCAAACTGCTTCTCAGAAGTGCTAGAGTAGTTTTAAGTTCAAGAAAATCCATGAAAGCTATGCAAAAATCTACAAGGTATTTCATGAAATACAATCCAATCCATCTCCCCTTTTCACTCTCACTGTAGGTTTGTTCTGGTTTGGAACATATTCAGGGCCATGCCAGTCTGCATTTACAATTGATGCACAGCATTGCTCAGGTTTTAAAATATGGGGTAAATGAGTAATTTCTGAAAAACAAACAAACAAAAAAACCTCATATTTGGTATGGACCCACTTGTATGCTTCATGCTACACAGTGCTGATGATGTCAGTTAAAACTGAGACAATAACTCCATATATGGCCCATGAGGGAGACATTATTTGGAAGCAATACTAAACTAAAATCCTAAAAAAAAAAAAGTTACTTGACATCCTGGTCTGCTTTTTATGAACATAGATTTGCTAAATGTGTGTTAAATTCAGAGGTGTGTGTTAAATTTCCAAATTCAGTTATATTCAATGATAACCTACAGAAATGTAGTTAGCGTTAGAAATTTCTAACCACCAATTTTCAAGCTCTCACTACCATTCTGTTAATCATGTCATCTATTTCTTATGTAACATATCTTTATATACCCTGATATACCTCTACCTTTAGCTCAGTTCCAGTGGGTAACTTTTCCAAAGTTCAGGTTTTAGAATTAAATGTGTCAATTAAGTGGGAAAGTGATAATTTCTGCAGACACACTTGCATACGTATACAGACTTTCGTGCATAGCACACATTTGCAGAAAATAAACCTTATACCTGTCTATATGAAAACTGATTTTAAAATCAGTGCCTATCCAGAACTTATTAGTCTGAAAGATAAATTTGGTCTAAGAGCAGAAACTATCATCTCTAAAATTGAAACAATGGTTCTGAAAGGTTGTCAATTTTGTGGGTGCGGAACATAGAAGAACTGATTTTCTAGTTTAACTCTTCTAGTTTAATGGTGCAGATGTTCACGAGTGCCATTGCTAATGGTTTTTTCAAAGCCAACTATGACAATAAAAAGATTCTTTTCAGAGGTATTTTTGAAAACTGACCCTGTTTGCCATATTTAAGCAGTAAAAATGACAAGTTTTTTGTGATCTTTTCTGCATGAGATTGATACTTTTCACATACATCATGATGATTTATATGAAATGATGCAGCTGAACTCAAAGATTACTTTCATGTTGCACTTTCAACTAGCATAAGTAACTTAAGGGTAAATGAGAACAAACATTCTAAATCTGGCTTCAAAATAGTGCCATTGACAACACACTAGGATATTGAAAACATTTGTATTCAGAGTCTCTAATTTGGAATCCTTCAACTTCAGAAAGCTTAGGTAAACAAAACATGATCTCCTACAGTTCTGCCTGCAAGATCACGTGTAGAAAATCTGATATGTTCTGACAGCAACTCAATAATAATTTAAAAAAATCCTACTGTTAGTAAGGACTGCCTGGTAAGTCGAGCAGTTATTAATGAACTTGTGGGCAGAAATGAAACTTATGTACCACAGGGAATTCTTGCTAAATCTAGGAAATGCCAAACTTCAGAAAATAGTACGATAAATTAATCATTTCAAGTATTGTCTGGACTTGTCACTAAGAAATGTACATTATTGCTTTCTGATTTTTTTGTCATTTTTCCCACAGTTTCTGTTTGAAGAAAAAGGATAGAGCTCAAAACATGTTTTGAACTCTCTAGTGAAGTAAACTCTAAGCAATATCTTTTACAAGATATGGGGACAATGCTGTGTTGGAACATATGATATGTAGACACCTAATGGAATCTAATTTCCAAAGTCCCATATATAATGCCACGATATCTGCCTACGCAGATGCAAAACTATCATTCCTCTGCAAATGCATCGACGTTTTCCTTCTGCTCCCTGCCAACAAAAGAAAACTTGTAAAATTGTGTTGACAGATGATTGGTGTATATTCCATATATCCTGGTCAGAGGGCTCTAACATACCTCACAGAAGCATTTGTCAGTTTGGGCCTTGTGCCACACTAATGCACTTTCACAAACTCTTGCCAAGTCAACCTGCGCCCAGTGGGGACACTGAGATGAGTTCCTCATATGGGGTTTTAACAGAACACATTTTCCAGGTCCAACATCTTGGCAGATCTGAGAGTGTGGTGATATGGATGAAAGCTAAATGGTGATGACCCTGGCAGTGCTGGCTGAGATAAGAACACGTGGATCATCCTGTTCTTGAAGAAGGTAATTTTCTCTGCCCTCAGTATAAGTATTGGTGTCAGCTCTCTCCTGCCCAGATTTTTAATTCACTCTATTTGCACAGTGACAATATTTCAGAAGGATCCAAATAGTGAATCTAACCA